AACTTATTATTTTTTTTTTTAACAAAAAGTTTTAAAAATATTTTTATTTATTTTAGAGATAGTAAGGGAGAGGGATAGAGAGAGAGAAACATGGATGAAAGAGAAACATCGATAGGCTGCTTCCCAGCCTGCAACCTGGGCATGTGCCCCAACCTGGAATCAAACCAGTGACCACCAAGCCACACTGGCTGGGCTTATTTATTTTATTTTTATTTTACTTTTTTCTCATTTTTCTTAATGCTTAAAATCTGTCAAATAAAAACTGAGGAAGAAAAATAATAAAGACAAGGTATGTCAAGCACCCCCACAGTGCCCTGTTCAGCAGTTTTTATTTCATAAACATTCACTAACACACTGGGGGTAACATCAGCCAAGAGCCAAGGATGGGCATGCCAGATGCCGTTCTGTTAATGATTTCTAGAGGGCTAGAGACAGACATTAAACAAGACAACTATGTGAACGCTGAGTGCTATAAAGACAGTCCACAGGTGAGGGACGGGGACCTGGGGGGTAAGAGTACTACCCTGGCTTGGGTGCCCCTGAGCCTCTGAGCAGGTGGAATGTGAGCTGAGGATGGACCAACTGTGCCAGGGAGCTGGCCATGCAGAAACCCCCCTCCCCCCCTCATCTATGTGTCCAGGGGCCCAAGATGCCACAAGGGGTGACCAGCAGAGAGCCAGGGGCAAGCATGTTTGTTTCCTCTTTGGAGCAACCAGCCATGGTGTAGTTTATGCTCTTAGAACTCTTTGGCCTGTTTAGACAGGCCAGATACCATCAGCCTCCCTGAACCAGTGAACCCTGGTTCCTACTCAGCCACTTCCTGGGGCTAGTTGGTGACCTGAAGCTGGCCTTGGAGGGAGTTGCACTGGCCCTTTACACAGGCCCTGAGAATGGCAGAAACCCTTCTCATAACACCGTTAACAAGTGAAAAGATGCTCAAAGTCATTTATAACTAAAAAAATGCAAGTTGAAATTTCACGGTTTCACCTACCAGATTGGTAAAGACTAAGAGATTGATCATTTCAAGTGCTGATGAGGTCATGGGGAACAACCCTCTCTTGTCCATGGCTCATTCAGCCTCTTGTGAGTAATTGGGTCACCGTGGCATTGTCCATCCGAGCACCATTGGCTCAGCAGTTCCATTTTAATGAAGCTATTTTGCAAATATCATCAGAGATGTGATTTTTTTTTTTTTAAAAAAACAATGTGCACGGATGGTCATTGAATTATAATTGTGGTATTGGCAGCATTACAGTAATTATGTCACCCAAATGCACACAACCTGAATGTGCACCAGAAGGAGACAGCTTAAATAAATTAGGGATAGGTTACATTTAATCATGCATGAAGTTTTGGAAATAAAAAATATATACATATCATAACAATAAAGTTTAGGGTATGCATAGAAAAAAAGCAAGAGGAGTATACACCTAAACATTAATAATGGAGATCTCTGGGGTATGAAATACTGGGGACTTTCGCCTTCTACAGTGTACATTTCTGTAATATTTAAATTTTGTATCACAAGCATGTATTGCTGTTCTAAGTAGAAAAATGGGACTTTAAAGTGAGAGAGGATGGAAGAAAGGACAGCAGTAGATACTTGTGTGATTCCTGCTAGCCAGGATCTGAACCCCCCTGGAAACATCTGGTTAATTCACCTGCTGTAGGGGTTTCCACCATGGAAGTTGTAAATCGCCTTTTGATGCCAGGGCCACTGTGGCTGTGCCATGGAAGGAACGATGGATGGAGACTGCTCCAAAGCCTGGTGCTCATCCTAAGAGAGCCCCAGGGAGCCCAAGGAAGCCAGTGGTTGGACTTGGGTTTCTTCCCATTAGCAATTAGAGTGGTGAATGTTATGCTAACTTAAAACAAAAAAAGCTCTGGCCAGGTGGCTCAGTTGGTTAGAGTATTCATCCTGATATGCCAAGATTGCAGGTTCCATTCCTGGTCAGGGCACATACAAGAATCAACCAATGAATGCATAAATAAGTGAAACAACAAACCGATGTCTCCCTCTCTTTCTCTCTTTCTCTCCTTCCATCCCTCTCTTCCTCTCTCTCTAAAATCAAATTAAAGAGCTCAGAAGTATAAGGAAAACACACCTCTGGGCTCCACTGGACTCATAATAAAAAATCCCTCCCCACAAGACTGGGAGACAACAAATATATCTAATATATAGATACAAACACAGAGCCACCAAAACAGGGGGACAAAGAAACAACCCCCAAATTAAAGAGAAGGAAAAATCGCCAGAAAAAGACTTTGAGGAGATGGAGTTAAGCAAGTTATCGGAAACAGAGTTCACAGCAATGATTATAAAGATGCTCAAGGAAATTAATGAGAACAAGGCACTAGATGATAAGGTCGAGGAACTTAGTGAAAACATGAAAAAAGAGATACATACCATAAGCAAAAATCAGAAATAAAGAATGCTGTATCTGATATCAAGAATACACTGGAAGGAATTAAAAGCAGGCTCAATGAAGCAAAGAATAGAATAAGTGACTTAGAAGACAAGATAGAAAAAAATCATTCAATCAGAGCAGCAAAAAGAAAAAACACTTAAAAAGCATGAGGACAGTCTAAGGGAGCTATGGGACAGCATGAAGCAAAACAACATTTGCATTATAGCGATGCCAGAGGGGGAGGAAAGAGAGCAAGGGATAGAGAACATGGTAGAAGCAATAACAACAGAAAACTCCCTATGCTGGCAAGGGAGAAAGCCAGACAAGTTCAGGAAGCACAGAAGGTTCCAAACAAGAGGGACCCAAAGAGACCCACTATAAGACACATCATAATTAAAATGGCAAATGTCAAGAGAGAATATTAAGGGCTGCAAGGGAGAGACAAGCAGTGACTACAAGGAAACCCCCATAAGGCTGACATCCAGGAGATTGGGGTTCGACTCCCGGTCAGGGCACATGCCTGGGTTGCGGGTTCCTCCTGCATGAAGGCAGCTGGTGCAAGAGGCAGCTGATCAATGAAGACTCTCTCATCATTGATGTTTCTATCTCTCTCCCTCTCTCTCTTCCTCTCTCTGAAATCAATAAAGATATATTTAGGGGGAAAAAAAGAAACATTAAAATCAATAAAAACATATTTTAAAATTGAAGATGAAATACAGAGCTGCCCAGACCAAAAAAAAGGCGAAAGGAGTTCAGTACCACCAAACCAGCACTGAAAGAAATGCTAAAAGGCCCAACTGGGCATGGCTTAGCGGTTGAGCATTGACCTAGGATCCAGGCGATTGGGGTTCGATTCCCGGTCAGGGCACATGCCCAGGTTGAGGGCTCCAACCCCAGTCAGGGGCGTGCAGGAGTCAGCCGATCAATGACTCTCTCTCATCATTGATGTTTCTATTTCTCTCTCTCCCTCTCCTATCCTCTCTCTGAAATCAATAAAGATATATTTTAAAAAAAAGAAATACTAAAAGGACTGCTCTAAAACAAAGAAGGATAGTGAGAGAAAGGTACATCAGCATAAAGGGGGAAATGGCATTAAATAAGTATATATCAATAATAACCTTAAATGTAAATGAAATAAATGGTCCAATCAAAAGACACAGAGTAGCTGAATGGATAAGAAAACAGGACCCAAATATATGCTGTGTATAAGAGACCCACTTGAGAGCAAAAGATTCACACAGGCTAAAAGTGAAGGGATGGAATAAAGTATTCCATGCAAATGGAAAGGGAAAAAAAGCTGGAGTAGCAATACTTACTTCTGACAAAATAGACTTCAAAATAAAGACCATAACAAGAGACAAAGATGGTCACTACATAATACTAAAGGGATCAATCCAACTGGAGGCAATAACCCTTATAAACATTTATGCACCCAATATAGGAGCACCTAAGTATATAAAAAAACTTCTTGGTGGACTTTAAGGAGGAGATGGACAGCAACACAATCATAGTGGGGGACCTTACCCCACTGTCAGCACTGGACAGATCATCAAGACAAAAAATCAACAGGGAAACACAGACCTTAAATGACTCACTAGACCTAATGGATTTAATTGACATTTACAAAACATTTCATCCCAAAGCAGCAGAATACACATTCTTCTCAAGTGCACATGTAACATTCTCAAAAATAGACCACATGTTAGGGCATAGGGCAAGTCTCTACAAATTCAAGAAGACTGAAATCATATCAAGCATCTTCTCAGATCACAACGCCATGAAACTAGAAATCCACCACTATAAAAAAAAACCTCAAAAATATTCAAACACATGGAGGCTAAATAGCACGTTATTAAACAATGAATGGGTTACCAATGAGATCAAGGAAGAAATCAAACACTTCATGGAAAAAAAAACGAAAATGACCAGACAACAACCCAACCCTTGCTTATCTGAAATTCACGTTTAACTGATTGGCCTGTGTTTTATCTGCCAATTCTACCCTGGGGCACTTGATAAAAATACCATTGACCTCATCACCTTATGAGATTCAGTAGGTCCGGGTGGAGCCCAGCCAGGAATTTGTATTTTCTTTTAATGGCATTCAGCTCACTGGCCAGGGCTGGGAAACCTGCATTCCAGCACGCGGGGCTGGCGGGGGACCAGGCTCCTGTCACAGGAAGCCCGATATATGTCATGCTTTTTCATTGCTCAGTCTCTAATGAGCTAGGTAGGCCAGGCAAGTTAGGAGTCAGCCTAGGGCCTTCTGCAGAAGGGAAGAATCCTCCCGGTGTGCTTCCCCTTTTAGCCACTACAGGCCCTTTACTTAGACAGAAGTATGCCGGAAGTGAACACTTCTCATATGCCAGAAGCGAGCACTTTTCCTCTCTCCAAAAGCCGTGGGGGAAGGCGGCACAGCTTGAGGGGCATGACTCCACCTCGGAAATCTGGCTGCGGGTGGGGCACCTTGCAGTGGGATGTCCTAGGCTACGGCTGCGGGGCGAGACCGACCCAGACCGGAGCGGTGAAACTGCGTCGCTACCAGGGCCCAGGAGAGCTCCACTGGCATCTGTCGGCTGCTCCGCACTCGGGATGGAGAGGGCCCGGGCGGCATCCAGAGGAGACCAGGGCGGGGCCGAGTTGCCGGTGGAGCCCTTGGAGAACCAGGTCCCGGGGCCGGAGCAGTCACAGGCCCCCGCGGAGGAGCGACCACTGGAAAGTTCCGAGAGCACGGAGGCGACCGGCGCGGGCCAGGACCAGTCGGGCGAAAAGAAACTGCCCTCGCCTCGCCCCGCGCACCTGCGGGTGCTGCCACCCAGCCTGGGCTACGGCGCCTTCCGCCGCCAGCTATC